GCCAATGTAGTGGAGGTTGATGTTCCCCAAGCATAGATCAATGTTATCAGTTTTAAGCAATTGAGTGTGTTACGATATTATCCTATTCCATGAGACTATTAGCAACAACCTCATTTTTTTTTATATATGTAAACATGTGGTTCGATTATGCCATGACCTTCATTTCTTTTCGATAAATGCAATGTTATTCATTATTCAAAGTTAAGATTTCAAGTCATTCAAATGTACTAATGGATGTTGTTTGCGATTATGTTTCTTTGGTAAAAGAATGGAGGCAATGGAAACATGATTAGAGGTTTGAGTTATTATTTTTTTTATTGTATGCAAGTTGAATATTCAAACATGTTCCTTAAAATAGAATTAAGGAGTATAATTTCATTTGTCGCCTGAAATGATCCACGTGCAACACTTGTGTGCATCAACTAGTACTACTTTAAAAAGTGAACATATTTGAAAAATTTTTTTTTTTCACTTTTATCCTCCAAAATCATAACTATCTCATTTTTATCCCTCAACATTAAAGCCAAAATAAACCTAAGCCTCCTCATGTTACCCCCCCAAAAAAACTACGCTTCCCAATCTTGTTTCTTCTTTGTCGTTTTATTTTCATCTTTCTCCACTCCAAATAACCTCTTTCTCTCTCTTTTTACCTTTTCCAAAAACCGTTTTTGTTCCCCTCTTTCTCCCTCTCTTTCTCTACTACTCTTAGCATATATTACTCCATGCATTTAATTCTCTTTGCATCTCAACATTTGGTGCATCTTTATTTTTTGTGGTATTATTCTTCCAATGATATCTATTATAAGTTTTTTTTTTTAACAAATTCATCCCAGAATTAATGATACCAACAAAATCAAAATTTCATGGAGAAATCAAGCACAAACAAACCATGTGTATAAGCATCATGAAGAATAATTAAAATTTGGTTACTGTTAAAAAGTTTAATAAATTGTTTGTTTAGAGTAATAATAATAAAAAAATAGTGTTATAATTATCACGAATATGAATTACAAGAAAACTTTTTAGTGGAGTTGTTTGTTGGACATTTTAATTAGTTTTGATTGACTTTCACCAGTATGGTTGTGATACATAATTTGAAGAAGGAGACTTAAATAGTTTCCTCAAAGTTAGGTATATGTGCTACTTTTTAATTTGAAGAAGGGAATTTTACCCTTCATCAAACTACGTTTCCCAATATTCTCTCTCCCTTGTCGTTTCATCTTCATCTTTCTCCACTCCAAAAAACTTTTTTTTCTCTTTTTTTTACCGCTTTCCAAAAACCCTTGATGTTCCTCTCTTTCTCTAATGCTCTCAGCATGTATTACTCCATGCATTTAATTCTCATTGCATCTCAACATTTGATGCATCTTTACTTTTTGTGGTATTGTTCTTCCACTGATATCTATTATAAGTTTTTTTTTTTACGAATTCATCCCAGATTTAATGATACTAACAAAATTAAAATTTCATGGAGAAATCAAGCACAAACAAATCGTGTGTATTAGCATCATGAAGAATAATTGAAATTTGGTTATTGTTAAAAAGTTTAATAAATTGTTTGTTTAGAGTAATAATAATAAAAAAAATGGTGTTATAATTATCACGAACGTGAATTACAACCAAACATTTTAGTGGAGATGTTTGTTGGATATTTTAATTAGCTTTAGTTGACTTTTACCAGTATAGTTGTGATACATAATTTGAAGAAGGGGATTTAAATAGTTTCCTCAAAGTTAGGTATGTGTGCTGCTTTTTAATTTGAAGAAAAAAAATTTACTCTTCATCAACCAATTTACAGGTTGAACTATTGGTCTGGTTCCATCCAAAATTTTCAAAATTTTTATATCTATTATGCATCGTTATTTATTTGTCATACATATAAATTGTTATCCTTGATTATTTTAATTTGTATTGTGATAATCAATTGCTTGTATTTCATCTGACCTCCACTATGCAATTGAGCTATCAATTTGCGGATCTACAATAAAATATAGGTTTTGATATATGTAAGATGCCTAAAAACAAAAAAAAAATTTATAAATTATTATATTTATTTAAAATAGTTCATATGGAGCACATATGAGAATTGCATTCTTAGAAATTCCCGTATGGTCATTTAAAAATAATTTGACCAAGTAATATTTTTATTATAAAAGTAGTAAATAAAAATTATAATTAACTTGAAATAATCTACGTGCAATGCACGTTGCACTAACTAGTATGTATACAATCGTATTATTACTGTATAATTTTCAACTCAGAAATGATCAAACTCGATAAATATCTCATGACCCAAATCTCAATTTCTGGTTGTTATGTTCTTTTTGGAGACATGTGATTCCGAATATTGCCACTTTTATGTTTAATTGACATTAATAAACATAAAAGAAGCATAAAAAAATGTAACTTTTAATGCAAAATGTGACTTTTAATAAAGCTGTTGATGATCCAAGGATGAATAATATGAAATAGTTTAGTGAAAATTGAGGGTGAGTCCCCCTAAATTGACTAATAATAACTTGAGTTTTGAAAGGAAATTTATTTGGGAGTAAGTTTATGTTAAACTTATATGCATGGACTTAAATCCACTTATTTTTTAAATCTTAAAATTATTACTAACGGTGTTAGTTTTGTCTAGTTATTGAAAGCCACATAGGTTAAATTATTGAGGTATATATGGAAACTCTTGATTGAGTTATATATGAAAATCGTTTATTAAATATTATGATAATTGTAGAAAGTTTTATATGGAAGTTATATATTCTGATAGTTATATATGGAAAACTTAATGTACGAATAAATTGTTAGTCTATTAAGTCAAAATCAAATCACAAAAATTTCTTAATAACAATAAAGCATAATATAGGAAAAACTAAACAATGTCAATAAAGTTCAATAACACGAATGTTAATATATAGTAACATTCATGTTACTATATGATCGAAGTTACAATTAGGGTCGTGTTATCAGTATAATCGTGTTATTATACTGACACTAATGTTACTATAATGAATTTAACATATAATTGCAAACCTTGAGACGTATATTATATAAAATACACTTTAATATTCACAGTAATATCAAAACTTTGTGTTTAGAAATATATCTAATTTTACAAAATACAAGATAATAATTTTTTTATAATAATATCAACTTTCAAATGATTTTAGTGAAAATATGATTCACAAATTAAAAGTTTACAAAATAATGAGTAGTAACATACAATCGTCAGTTGAATTACGGCACTCAACACCAATTGTGAACATCAAGACATCGAAATTCTGAACTTCATTTTTTGGTTCACGTATAGTAACATAAACTTTTTTCACAGTAACACAACCATGGAATACTTGATTGTCTTGCGCAACAAAAAAATTAACAAAATCGAAATCTATAACACTTTAATTTAGTACTAATGTATGAGTTTTCTTGAATCTTAGTTATAAGGTTAATGCTCACTTTGACAGAATTAAATTCTTAATTGTTATTAATTTTTTATCATGTTACTATTTTTTTGTGAATATGTTACTACTTTTTGTGTGAACATATTACTGTCTTTATTGAGTATGTTACTATTATTGTTTTTTAAATATTAATATTTTGTCGATAGAGTTCAAAGTAAACTAGAATAATAAATTAAAATTGTATTTTATGGAATGTAATGGATTAAAATTTGAATATGAACAATTTTGGTAAATGCTGGTTTCTTGTTTTTCAGATAAGGAAATATTGTGGCTTGTAGTCAAATTTAAAGACAATTATAAAAGAGATGTATATAGTTAGTTATTATGTCCATAAACATCGTTAATAACATTCATACTGAGAAGGGTTATGGTAGTAAAATTAAGTAAAAATAGACTTAAAATTAAATAAATTTTTTTAACAGATTTATCTCCAAATAAGTCCATATAAGGGACCGATCTCCAAATTTTTCAATAGTTTAAGGACTTAATCGTTTTCATCATTAGATGAAGTAACCAGCTTCTACTTTAGGAACAACCGTGGATCAGATCCAACACCCCCCCGCCCCCCAAAAAAAAATAATAAAATTGGGCTAGTTTTGGGTTATTTGGGCCTAATACTATCCGAGGCAAGGTCTTAGACCAATCTGATGAGCCAGATCTAACTGAATCTAGGTCCAATTCGTGGAGTGGCTCAAATTAGCTATAATGTAGGTTAATCACAGCCCATGAATTTGACCTAGTTCAAAGTTTAAGAAGATCAGCGTATGGACAGATTAATTGTCGGGATAATTATTCAAAAATTAAAATTATTTTAATTGAACCTATCCTTAGTTGTAATCATCCTCCCAATTTGTGCCTACAAATTGTGAGTCTTCTACATACAAAAGACACAACACATCTCTCCATCTCTTAGAGCTATCTCCCCACACTTAGAGCTTATTCTTGCTTTCTTCCACTGACTATTTTATCAATAAAATCCTACGACTACAATCGTCGCATTTAAAGTGGAGCAGATCACTCTGAACGAATCACTCTATATCTGTCTGATGTTTGTATTGATCTCATCTTTATATTTACTGTACTTATTACCAATATTAATTACTTGAGAGTATATCACTTTGTTTGAATCACTCTATATCTGTGTATTGTTTGTATTGCTCTCATCTTTATATTTATTGTACTTATTACCAATATTAATTATTTGAGAGGGGGTACATAAATTCATTTTTGTTCATCATCAAAATTAACGACCAAAATAAACTAAAACTTGGGTAGAAAGTTTTGTTTTTTAGAATGGTTAAGGATATTCGGACTAGTTTACGTGTGTTTCAATTAATTTTTTTTTCTCATCAAAGATGGATCGTTTACACTAAAATAAAAAAAATTATAAAAAATAAATTTTTATGATCTAATCCTATAAAATTGTTAAATTTCGAACTCAAATCGAGAGGACAAGACATTTGCTCTGTGGTGCTTAAAGAATAAGCGGCCAAAATTGCATAGCGTAAGCATCGTGAGAGAACCACACATGACCACCTTGCCCTGAGTTAGCCCAATAGCATGCCCACGGTGGCTCAGTGGTCGAGCCAACGACTTATTCTTCTCTCTCTCTCTCTCGCCGCCTAGGTCTCACGTTAAACCAACGAACGATCGATGAAGCTGATCAAAGACGGTGGAGAAGGCAAATATTAAAGTTTTTGTATTTATTGGTACGACCCATATGGTTCATTCTTCGTCTTCACAGACAAGCCGTAGAAAATGCTTGCAAGAAAAGCCATAGACCTCTTGCGCACGTTAGTTCCTATTGATCCCTGTGAAACCGAATCATGGCCATGTCAAGGTCCGTAGATATTCTTTTCATCTTCGTTATGATTTCCCTCTGTTTTTCTACTTTTTTGGGTCTTAATTTTTCTTGCTTCTTCCTGTTGAACTGTAATTGCCTTTTGATTCTTGGGTTTGGTCAAATTTTGCATGATTTAAACGAGCTATATATAATTTCCTTATCTATGGTGTAGGCAGTTTTTGATAATTTTTCTATTTTTTTTTGTAGTTTAATATAAGGGCAGATATACTTTTTTTGGAAATTTCATTTAGAACGAGACCCATCTTTACCTTGGAATGTGTCTTAAGATCTTCATGTATAAATGGGAAATTCCCTCTTACAGTGCTGCAGCTCCAATTCAATTCAGCAATGTTAGATTTTATTTGAAAATGATCATTTGAATTTAAAGAAAAAGGGCATTTATAGTTTGGATATTAGGGTGGCATGTCTAGAACAGGGTGGATTAAGGTTATGGGATGATGGCTTGAGTTTAAGTTCATTGAAGCTAAAAGAATTTATCTCAAAAGGGAATAGCAGTGATAGCAATATATACTATTCACTATCTTAGATCGAATAGTTTTATTCTTCTTGGGTCTTCTATTATATGCCTTTGAGTCCTAATATAAAGGCGTTTATCATTGTGACTATGTGAGTGAAACAAGTTGCTATAATGTTTGGATATTGTCCACATTCTGTTCCCTGATTCAATTTATTAAAAATTAGGACTTGGTAACAATACCAAAATAATCTTATGGGGGTGACTGAAGGCATTGTTGGAAATGCAGATATTTGACATTTGGAATTATTAGGAGAGTTGCACAATCCGTGTGCATAAACCAGAAAAGCATTTCTTTGGAGAAAAGGAAATATGGGCGACTGGTTACAGGTGGGCTATACTCCCCTCAATACAGGTTGTACTCACAAAACATGTTCCGAAGTAGGAGACATTCTTCGTTCACAGATTGCAAAATCAAGGGTGGCTTTTGCAACAGTACCTTTCGCAAGAATTTTTCTTTCATACCCGTGAGTAACTCTGTAGCACATCAGGCCCAAGTTGCTTGGAAGAGGCTTTCTCAGAGATCTCCTAATGGCCAAACTTTTTCTCCTATTGGTAGGATTGCTCAAGCAGTTAGCTTGGCATTGAGCCGCTCTTATGTGGTTGTTCCTGGTGTGTTTGCCTTAACATGCGGAAATGTAGCATGGGCACAAGCATCTGCAGACACGGATCTGATCCATCCAAGGAATACTTTGTATATGCGTGCGGAAGACGGGCATGCATTCTTTATCTCATTAATTCTTTCAACATTGGAAGGGGTTCTCCTGTTACTGAGAGCTCTTTATTTAGCAGTTTTGTTCTCACCCAGCGTAGCAATGGCTCCATTTGCTGATTGTTTTGGACCTCAGTTTCGGAAAATGTGGCTTCATGTTGTGCATCAGACGTTGGAAAGAGCAGGTCCTGCATTTATTAAATGGGGCCAGTGGGCAGCTACACGGCCTGATCTCTTCCCTAGAGATTTATGTACCGAGCTTTCCAAGCTTCATACCCAAGCTCCTGAGCATAGCTTTGCATATACAAAAAGGACTATTGAAAAAGCGTTTGGTCGTAAGCTTTCTGAAATTTTTGATGATTTTGAAGAGGCACCTGTAGCATCTGGAAGTATTGCCCAAGTGCATCGAGCTTCTTTGAGGTACCGATACCGTGGTCGAGAGATAAAGCCTATGTTAGTAGCGGTAAAGGTTAGACATCCTGGAGTTGGTGAGTCAATAAAAAGAGATTTTGAGATAATAGACATAGTAGCAAAGATCTCAAAGTTCATACCTACGCTGAAGTGGTTGAGATTGGATGAAAGCGTCCAGCAGTTTGCAGTTTTTATGATGTCTCAAGTTGACCTTGCAAGGGAAGCTGCACATTTGAGCCGTTTCATTTATAATTTTCGCAGATGGAGGGATGTTTCATTTCCAAAGCCTGTATATCCACTTGTGCATCCTGCTGTTTTGGTGGAAACTTTCGAGCAAGGGGAATGTGTCTCACGTTATGTTGATGACCTTGAAGGACATGAGCGAATTAAAAGTGCACTTGCCCACATTGGGACTCATGCACTTCTGAAGATGCTTCTGGTAACCTATTTATTATCTAATTTTCTGTTTCCTTGGCTTATTTTATTCTAGCAATGGGTGCTAGCATGCTTATATGGTTGTGTTGTTAAAAAAGCTTTGTGCTTCTGACAAAATGATTCATGCTATACCCAAGGGCCTCAGTGACTTTTATTCAACTATGTTGTGTATTATGTCGTGACGAGGAGCTCAATGTAATTCTTGTTTTATTTTTCTGATCATTATGTAAAAGCCAATGGACTGAAATCATCTTTTGTGGAAGCTAACTCATTCAGTGCTGATTTTTGAGCTCCCTCTCTCTCTCTGTCTGTGCAAAAATATGGATTGTGGCATCTACTTGATATCACGTTGTATTCTAATGTGCTTGATTTCTTGTAACTGTTTTCTCTTCCAGTGTTTAACTTTGACATATAGTATTTGATATCAATAAGAAATAGTCCTGACTTCTGAGATGTGATTTGTCTCCTTCAGGTGGACAACTTTATTCATGCTGATATGCATCCTGGAAACATCCTTGTCCGGGTAGGTCAGAGCAAATCTTCTCGGAAACGGCTCTTTAAATCGAAGCCTCATGTTATATTCCTTGATGTGGGCATGACTGCTGAACTTTCTAAGAACGATCGAGTAAATTTATTGGAATTTTTTAAGGCTGTTGCCCGGCGGGATGGCCGCACTGCAGCAGAGTCCACGCTGAAATTATCGAAGCAACAGAATTGCCCTAAACCAGAGGCTTTCATTAAGGTAATCTGATAGGTGCCTTTTTTTTTGGACGTATACTGGCATGTTGTCGATTAGGGTTTATCTTTTTTCCCTTCATTGTTGGTTTGTGTTGTTAGTTCAGCACCAACAAGAACATCCCTTGCCTTGGACCAATGTACTTTTACCAGATGTTTCACTAATGATTTATTCATTTGCTGATCAAACGGCATCCTTACTATTCCTGGAATCTTGCTATGCATAAAATTGTTGCAGCACTACATAAACTTGTGCCTTCCAATAATTGTTTAACAAATACACTGAGGACTTCAAAAAAATGCAATTGAGCTGAGACCTGAGAATATGTGTTTGCCGGCACATTGCCCTCATCTTTTGCAACGTGGCAGCGAGACTTCTCTTGTTTGGATTGCCCAAGACCTCAATTGTTTCTGACGAGTATTCTTAAATATTAGTTTCTTACCCTCAAACACAGGATGCAATTTTCCAGTTTGCAATAGGCAGATGTATGTTTCTGGTATTAAATTTGTGACTTTGAATGTTCTTATGCTAATTTAATGTATTCTAGACCATACTAGGTATAAACTTCATGGGTTGCTGGGGTTATATATTTTCTTGTTTGGGATATATGCTGTGGTTGAGTAGATACTGGTACCATTCATACATGCTCCAGGTGATTGCTTCTTGTAGAGGGGAAATTTTTGTCCTTCACGGTGCATTTTTACATATAATATTTCTATTGACAATTTTTTTGTGTCTAGCTGTTTAATCACCTTGCTTTAGCAGGAAGTGAAAGAGTCATTCGATTTTTGGGGTACCCCAGAAGGTGATCTGGTCCATCCTGCTGACTGCATGCATCATTTGCTTGAGCAAGTTAGGCGTCATAAAGTCAACATTGATGGCAATGTCTGTACTGCGATGGTTACAACTTTGGTTCTTGAGGTAGTTTACTTTGACAATGCTAGTAACTACTCTACATATTTAGTTTCATTTGACAGTGCTTCTTCACATTTGTTTTAAATTAATATAGTCATCATGTTTGTTAGTATGTAACACGATGATTTTCTTTATGAAAGTATATAGCCCTTCTTATCTTACTTATGTATTCAATTCGCTGTATTTTATGGTTAAAGTGATTTGATGACGAGTATGATTTGCATTTGCATTCTTCTTGATGCCTGTTTCACGTTTGTAGGGTTGGCAGCGGAAGCTTGATCCAGATTATGACGTAATGCACACGCTACAAACACTATTACTCAAAGCTGACTGGGCAAAGTCACTTTCCTACACAATCGAAGGGCTGATGGCCCCATGAGAAAGTCCTTGACTGTAGCTGCTGGTAATGCAAAACAATTTTTGATGATAGAGAACAAAAATATTTATATCAGTTCAAGGAATAACATTAAGTCCCTTAGGTATAATTTTTTTAACCGTTTATAGCTGCTCTTTACATGTTCCTTGTCTGAAAATTTTGTTTTGGAAAGTTTTGTGCTGTATTAGTTCTCTCTCACTGAGAAATAGTGTGCCTCAGCAATTGCAAGCAAAGACGTCGAAGAATGGACCAACCAAAGAGCTAAAAACATGGCATTCTTTGCTTCCCTTTGCCTTTGGCGTTTCGATTCATTTTTTTTTTCTTTCTTTTTGGACTAATGTATAATAAGATTGATTATTCTCAATGGTATGATGAAATATTCTTGTTTTAATTTCTTTGCCTCATGAATCCTGACCCTGCAATCGAATGATGGCCTTGGTATTGTGAAATGGATTGCTCATCAATTCTCATTTTTTAGCAGAGTAATATTATTTAGACTTAAAAATTTAACCTAATTTGTTTACATAATAATATGGTTTCATAGAAATCATTGAATCAAAATCAAGTTTTAATGTTTGATGGGCTCTATAGTGAATTCAAAGTTTACAGTGAATTAGTTTAACAAATTATGTCGGTAAATTAAGTTCTAATAACATTACTTTTCTTAATGTTCAGTACCGGAGGTGGGTATTTTTTGCCCCTCTTTCTCTATCTCAATGTGCGCACGTGCTCACGCACATACGTGTCTGTGGGGTGTTTATCTCAAGATTACGTGAGGCGTGAATCTAGCATAAGATTGAAAAACTTTGCACTTTTCACATAGGGGAGTTAATTAAGAAAAGTTAATTGGGTCAGATAGAATTTAGCTCAAATTCGATTCATATTCTAAACAAGTTAAGTTTAAATAATTTTTTAAATTCATTCAAAAAAACAAGCTTAATAGGATCGACTCGAACTTATAAAACTCATTTTGTTTAAATATAAAATAGTCAAATTACTTAAGTTCAGCTCGGACTTAGATTCGACTCATTTTTTAGGTTCGTTTTAAAAAATAAACTCGGGTTCAAGCTTTCAAAGTTTGGTTCGATTAATACTCCAATTTTCATACAAAGGACTAACCAGGAAGTATTGAGATGCACCAGAGAGATATTTTGAACACTCAAACCTATGAAATGGTAACAGCCTCCTCTGGGCTATGGGGCCTGTGGAGTGCAAACAATCCTTTTTTATGCAATGCTGTTGGACTAAAATTCTTAGACGAAAAGATAAACACCTGACTATTGGTATATATTAACCAACCCTACAATTGTTTCTTCTGAGAAATACCTAAAAAGAATCTTGAACTCAGTCTCTCATAATTTCCATTTCTATGCCTTGTACTTTTCTCTCTGGTGCCTGGTAAGGCCTCATCAGTTGGTCCATCGGCTTTTCCCGAGACATGATGAACTGCAATTTCATCAAAATTCTAAACTTAGAAGGAAAGAAAATGAAGAAATGAGTACTCAATCGGAACAAGTTTAGACCTCTCATGATTTATGGACAATAGGCAACTGGTTTGGTCATTGTATAAACATCCATCATGCTGTAAACCTACACAAAATATAATTGCAAATGTCAGCCAAACTCACCTGTGAGGGATAAGTTGTTAAGATTGTTGGATTAGAGCCCATCCTTAACCCACAGGTAGTCACAATCATGTTGTAAAAGCTAAACAACAAGTGAGAGAATCAATATGAGTTCAATTACCTTAATTCATGTGCAAAGTATCTCAATCAAGCATTTCTTGAGTATCGGATAGATAGAGAGACCAATGAATGAACCGTTCAGTCCAATTGTAGCTGCTCTGGATATTTCATTGTCTTCCAAGCCTGCAGAATAATAATGGTCATAGCAACACAAACCAAAAAATGTCTTAAATTTCAATTCAGTATTTCATACAATGATATATGAGGACCACAGATGCCAAACACATGCTACTCAAAACCAGATCGCAAAGGCTGGATTCGTATGGGTTAGTATACACACAAACACACACACACACACACTATCACTGCAATTGATACAAAAATTAGTCTCATATACGAGGGGAGGCATGAATGAAATTTTTGCAAAATATTCATACCACCTATAGAACAAAAAGAGAAATAGGTAAATATGAAAAAACATAAGCTACCCAATGAAACTGCTGCTGATTAGATTTGATTTCCTTTGAATTGTTGTCAGCCTGACCCCATATGCTCAATACTGGTCCTGGATTGTGCATGTGAAAGTAAATGACCGGAATAAAAACCATTTGCTAAATCTAATAAAATATGTGCTTCTAAATTTCGCCAAACCTATGGAATAAAAAATGGCCCACCTATTAAATAATAGTATAATTGAAGCATTCAAACCACTTCCATGCTAGAAGAAAAGATGATCACCGAGCTCTGTAGCGACCATGAGACAAACTATTTTTTCATATTTTACGAAAGATAATATCTTTCAAATGTAAAGTTGGGGGGGGGGGGGGGGGAACATGAATCACCAACGATTTTGCAATTGCATGTCCTTAATTTGGAGATACTGCATTTTATAAAGTTTAAGCCCTTCAAAATTCTCTTCTAAACAGGTATCAGTACAATTGACACAAACTTACAAGCACACATGAAAGAAAACAACATAGGCACAGCACAAAAATTTCATGTTTCAAGAGGGCTACTTACTCTGCATGTGTAAGGTTACGGATTTCTTCTATTGCTGCACTGACTCCATAGAGGCTCATTTTCTTCACCTGTTTCGACCATTTTACTATAGTTCATGTGATCCATATGGACGCTTAGGAAAGTACAACTTAAAAATTAAGATGGCTTGCACTTTTACCTCAAACATTTTTTCTTTTGCTTTGTGGCGTAGGGGAAGTAGACGGAGTTCATCATTTAAATTGATGCACTCGGCAGCATTTTCAGGTGAAATGAAGTCCAACGCAACATTAACAGAGGACTGCAAATCAATCATTAGGTGTACTACATTATCAGGTTTGCAAAACAAGAAATCTCTTCTTTCAACTGAAGGAACTAAAGTTAAACAACCTTCAAATGAAAATTACTTACAAAAGGAGAAATCAAGGATTGGAAATGAGAAAACACAGTTGTATTATCCATTGTTTTTTGAACTTGACTAGACCAATCAGTTGGACCCTAATTCACCAATCTACCGGTGTGGATCAGATGGTAGACTGGGCAACTACATTTAATGTATAAAAAAACACCCCAAGGTATAAGGATGGGATGCTTGAAAATAGGACCACTTAAATAATTAGCATTAAGGCTCATCCAGTAAACTAATATCAGAATTCCAGAAATTATTGCAGCCTTTTATGTTTAAATTATGTGCTAACACGGTGGGCCAGCCAGTTTGAGCAATGAATAGATCAATCGGATGGTGAAACAAACATCATCAGGGATTAATGGCAGATAAGGTCATGATAACTAAAATATTGGCTTTTAGACACAAGTGGAATTCACTGATACATTCATGATATCTACAGTTAGAGGAGTATTTGAAACTATTTGTTCCAGTATTATGATATGAAAATTTAAGGACATTTCTAAGAAGGATCCTTGTCTGTGTCAGACACGTGGGACATGGACACTTTCTAGGCTCTCCTGCTGTAGTGTAAGGTGCACCATGGATGTGTTTACAATTCTTAAGAAAATGTGTAATTCAGAAAATGTGATTTATGCTACTTGGAAATTGTTCAACTTGGAATTGATAAACCTTGGACACAGAAACATAACTTTGTTTTAGTGGTCAGAAAAAAGTGCACTTCAATGAAAGAAATCAAACTTTAAAAGGTTTATACACTATTTACTGAGACATTTTTTTACTATTTTAAAAAACAGAAGTAATAAAATGAAGGCACTGGCGAAGGAAAATGGGCATGAAAGAAAAGTAATCATAATCACCGCTTCGTGTGACTGAGTGTGCTTTTCCATATACTTGTCCTATCCTGTTGTTTTATGCATGTGACAACTATAACTATTGCTAATATGCTTCATAAGTTAGAATTTTCATTTTCACAACCTATGATTGTTCTATATTTAGTTGGATGGTAATTTATGTCGTATATAATATATAAACACACTAGTCATAACCCGTGCCTGAAGGCACGATAAAATATAAAATTCAAGCGTCCAAAAAATCGATCTCACTATATTAAATATTTTTAAACTATATTAACTATAAATTAATCAAATATTAAATTATTAAATATATGATAGAAATGAGTAATTTGATATTTTTAGGGGGCAAATATATAAATGATTAAATATGTGATAGAAATGAGTGATGTGATTTGATGTTTGAATGTGACAAAAGGATGATGGGTGAAGTAAGTGATTGGTGATAATTTTGAGGGGAAAAATATGACTGAGATAAAATTCAAACACACTCCTGTTTTATTATATAGATTCTGCTGAAGTCCCTTTGCTATGTTCAGCATTTTCTGTGTTGGCATGTTCACGTACTGTCTTGTAGGTGTCCATGCATAGTATATTATGAGTCTATGGCAATCGTGCCAATAGATAGATAGATAGATAGATAGTCTCACCCATTAGTCAAATTGATACTATATACTTCAGGTGATAACACCCAAAGGAAAAATCAAGTACAGTTCAGACCTTCCATGCAAGCAAAGAAAGACACATGCATGTGCGCGCACACACACATGTTGCACAAGTCAAAAGAAACTGTCATAACATGCTACCTTAAGTTTTCTAGTTTGATATGGACATCCAGCAGGAATGATGACAGCTTCCCCAAGGTGTTGTTCAAACGTCCATGGTTCAATATCTACAAGCAGAGAATGCAGATCCATGTTAGGGAGACTATTCTTAATTGCCCCAAGAGATAAAAAGCCTCCACATAATGCTTACCAAACTCCTGCTTAAGCCTCAATTTGTGATATGCATCAAGGAAGAATTCCCGATCAAGAATTGGATGAACCACCTGGGGCAAATTCACAAATAAATAAGAAATGAATTCGATATCCAGAGTCTCCATACCTCATAAGAGAGATATTGTGTTGCTCTAGAGTTATCTTACATGTTTTGGAGGGCAGTGGGTATAGCTGAACTCGTTAGAGTGCCTCTTCAGGTATTCTAAAAGCTTTGGGACATCTTGTCTGCGAAATATATCCCATTGGGCACCACAAGAGTCAGCCACTAAGTTCTCTCCAGAACAACTACAGCTTTCTATATCATCATCGAAGTTCTGATCGTCTGAATCTCCAGAGCTTTGAATGATTCCAGAGCAATGTATTGTGGCCTCAAAATCAAATTCAGAATCATGGTCACTGGAATGGGACATATTTCCATCTTCCGCACTTAAAGCACAGTTCTTAAGTGAGTCACAAGAACGCACAGATACTTTAGCAGTTCCATTGGCTAGGTGCAAGCCTTCTCCAACCATATCCTGCAAGCTTGACTCTTCAGTGACTTCACTCTGCGAAGATGATTTTCCTTTCGCATCATTCGTTATTTTCTGATCAGTAATGTTAGTGGTAGACTCCTTATTATCTTGAACTTTGTGCGATTTAATTGACTTTTTGATATTAGTCAGCTGCTCTGTGGAAGCTGGAACATCTGTAGCATGTGCAAGAATATTGACCTGAGGCCAACAAACAATTAGAATGTGGTAAATACCTCCCGCTTTTTCAGAAAAGAAAAAATATTCCCCATGCATGTCATCTAACAGTAATTCCTGTCTGCAAGCAAAAGGACAACCCCAATTTATACATAAAAGGGTGTCACGAGAATGAAGATTCATGAACTTGTAATGCTCTGGGTTTTTCTATGAAATTATGAAAAAAAAAAAGAAAAGAAAAAATGTGTTCATGTATACAAGTGGATGGATTTTAGTTATGCCACTACTTCCTGTTTCGATTGTGCAAAGAACTTGACAAGTATAATGAGATGGCAGCTCCATTGATCTCTACCAAGTACTTTGAATGAAGGACCTCATGCGTAGAAACTTTTACAGGGGAGGGGGCTTGGTGAAATTCGAATCCATGACCTAACAATCCAACAACGGGCTGCGGAGCCACTAGGCCACTGCTGATCTTCACTTCATGCGTAGTCAAATGGGATTTTCCTACCTATTGTGAGACCTCATTCACTTATCTTCCATAGGAAAATATGCAAAGCCAAGTATCAGGAATCCCCTCAACTTACTTATTTTTTTCTACCTCCAACTATATGGCTGCAAAGAAGCTTTCAAATGACTCTTGCTACTACTTGACAGTTTATCCCTGGAGAAAAACTTATGGGGGTCCTAGAACAATGGTATTCTATGCACTAGTCAAGTGCACAGTACAAGATGGTATGGCATGGTAGGTATATTATGGATGCTCTTACACGATTAAAGGGTAAAGTGTTAATATAATCAGTAACAAATAAGCATAAACCTTGCCTGTCCCAAGGATGAGTGTTCTGTAGTAAAAATTATTTGAAAGCACATATCTATATATTAGACATTCCTAAATTTGTATAGTATACGTTGCAAAGGAATACTATGAGAGTGCAGATTCATCAATAACAATGTATGAACCCCAATGAACTTAAATCCACCCCCAAAAAAAAGTAACTAAAAAACTATTAAAGGGAAGTAGGCATACCATATCATATGATTCATAACATAGTTTCGTCACAAAATCAGCCTGCATAAGTTCGTCTGGTCCAGCATATGAGATATATATACAAGGTCCTAAGTCAGACCTTCGCATTTCTTGCGGCAACTTCACATCTAGGTTTAGAATACCAGATATAGGATTCATGTACTCTTGAAGTGGCAGAGAGTGCATGATCTCAGCATAATGGGCTGGAAACTGTTCTTGAAATAAATGAGAAGAAAGCCAAGCTTTCAGTTTCAGCATCTCGCGCTTCATATTTGCATGAGTCTGTCCCTCTAGAGACCCCATAAATACTTGTTTCATACCAATTTCTACCTGAAAGAAGACATACGAATCCCATATAAGGATACATAATGAAGTGTGAAATAACTTTTTCCTCAGAAACAGAAAATCAGAACTCATAAAGCACACGAATTAAATATGAAAATGATACATAGAAGTAGTACAGTACATGCACAATAACCAACAATCTTAAATCCTCCAATAAGTAGCATGATGTTACAATTCAACAGCAGTGATATCTCAGAAAGACAGTTGAACAAAACACCCCATAAGCATTCTGTGCCTTCAGAACTTAGTGTTTTCTAATAAATGAACTACAGAACATTATTATGTCATATTATGGTACCCCCCCCCCCCCCCCCCCAAAAAAAAAAAAAAGAAAAGAATAAGTGTATAAAATAAAAAGAACAAAGAAAGAAAAAGAAAAAGGAAGCCTTTTAAAACTAGAACTGCTGGAAATTTGCAATGTAGTCTTAAATATGCAGTATTTCCTTGTTTTAAAATGTACCCATCTGATTAGAACTGCATGATTTCTATGATTAAGGATACCCAACATATTGACCCTGACGGCATCAAGGAGAAAACCTGAATACTGATCATTTAGAACATAGAAAACTTTGGTATTTTATGGATTACCCTCCCGAATTATCAAATCAAGGACCTTTATTTCTCTAAGCACTCGCCGTTCCAACAATGGATGAGTATTCATACTCTGGGAGAGAGTGGACGGGGGACGGAGAGAGAGAGAGAGAGCTTGGCAGATATGGGTACGAAACACTGACCTCACACCAGTCCAAGCAATTGGTGGCTTTGACTGTTTCCTTATCACTCTGGGATTTTGCACTGCTTTTCTCAAGGTAAGTACAGAACATGATTAAAGGATCCCAACTCAGATCCAATGAGTTCTGAACCACATTCCGAACTATAACAGGATGACCTTTTCCCCAATGCTTCTGAAAGTGTTCAAGGTTTTCCTCATGAAGACTTTTCATGGTGGGGCAATATAGAAAGTTGTCATTCGAATTTTTTCGCCTAGCCACTTCTTGCAATAGCTTGATTCCACCAGCTTTATAATCTGTGCCGCCACAAAGTGAACAACAGGAAGAAGCATCTGAAGTTTCTGGATAGTCATAGCTGCAAACTATTTCTTCTGCTATTACTTCTAGCTCTTTGGTCCAACTGAAGGGTAAGACACATCTCAAATCCAGAAGGCTATCCCCACAACCACCAAGAGCCCCGGGTGGGCAAGATATACTGCCATCAGCACAAGCTTTCCATTTTTGCAATAACATGGGAGAAACGATGTGTGCCCTGCCAGAACTTTTCCTAGATATGCTAGTCTGCTTCATCTCTGAGAGCAGCTCGCCTTCAGACGTACCACATTTCCTTGTACTTGGGTATTTGAACTGAAATGCTTTAATACCACCAGGTAATCTCCCCCGACAAAACTCCCAACAACAACTTAAGCAAAGAGTATAGGAACAATTTGTGCAGCTTCTATGGAAATCAACAATTGAATTCTTGCAGTTACTGTTGATCCGGAATTTAAATGATCATGAACCCGAAGGGCACCACAAGAAAGTCAGAAAAATACTCTTAATGACACTAGAACTTCCAAAGAATAGTGCACTTACCAGCAAATTATAGTCTGCCAGCCTAATTCAGCCTGCTGAATCTTAACTTCTGACGGCATTTTTCCTGTTATGCATAGATAAATTTAAAGGATGGAAAGAAAAAAGAGAATGAAAAAAAGGAGAGAACTTGTGCAGAGAACATGAGAGTAAAAGCTCAGTCTCCAAAATAATGTTTGAAGAAAAGATGACTCATTGCTTTAAATATCAATGTGAAATCATCATCTATACCTGTTATTTTAGCTTCTATATCCAGCTCAATGCTCTGTTCCCGGTTTACTTGTTCCAGCACAGGAAGAAGCCTACAGATCAGATAGTGAAGTAATTGGATTTTCTCAACCTTGTTTTTATCCCTATACAATTCCTGAAAGAGGGTTTGTACATGAACAGACACATCAGTATCCACTACCTATTAAGCACAACTTTAGTTCAGAATGCAGAAACTCTGATGTCAGACCTCATGTTCGTCGTCTTTAGATTGCTTTTTTGAGCAGGCCCTACAGATGCAGGTTCCACGACAAACAGGGCATGCCATCTTTACTTCTTGCTTATCAACATATCTAAGCACAAGGAAATGCCAAAAGTTATAGATCACCAGTGATTTTAATCCCAAGAAAGTTTACCACAGCCAAAAAATAGGTTTCAAAATTTAATGGTAAGATGAAGGTAGAATGTCAACTTCCACTTTGTTCTGGATATCTCTAAAATTGACAATTCATTTGTATGAGTTTGTACAATTAGTATGGCATGAATAAAAGTGCCCATAAATTACATAAAACTTCATAGTTTTCTACTACAGAATTGATACTAGTCACCAATCTCACAACAGAAGCCTTCGTCGCCCAATGCCATAATGCTTTCTTCAGATATTTTAGCTTTAGCCTCTCCTTGAGTCAATCAGAGTGAAAAGGAATTAATAAAATTGTACCAATAAACTTCTTCAATTATATTACTCCTTAACTCGGGGTCTAATACATAGGCTTATACTTTGTGTCGCTTGGTGTAACAGTCAAACATCCTACGACAGTCAAACATCCTAATCAACATGATGTTAGCTGGATCTAGAGACAATTATCTAACTTTAACTCCTACATTTGAATAAATCTGCAATTTCTATTTACACATTCAACAGATGAAAGCAAGTGATAATACAGATTAATTCATCTAAGTCATTAATACAGAAAAGAAGAGTCAAACTACACAAAGTAAAACTAAAATTAATAAAACATACCGTCCGATGCAATCCCGACAAAAGAAATGTTTCTGACTACTTGAACATTTAGTTAAACCCCACTGATTACTTCTCCTACAGCAATGGCATTTCTTCCTCTTCCCTTTCTTCAAATTCCCAACACTCTGTGCAGGTGGCATAGCCTAAGCAGAAAACAAGCACTTCTATAACAAAATAAATAACAAAACAAGCAATTAAAACACAGAAAACACATTGTGTAAAACAAAAAAACAACCTGCATTGTATCAAAGGGAAACCTTTCGATATTCTTGGACCGAAAAGACCGCCGCGAAAACAAATTGGAACAGGAATTTAGCCCTAATTTGACATTATAACAGCCTACATTGTTAAATTTGTTGGGGGATGGCGACGACGAAATCTCCAGTACTCCATTAGGCAACTTTCTCCTCAACTCTCTCTCATTGTCTCTCTCAAATTCTCTTTCCTTCTTCTTCTCCACTTGCCTTTTCAAGAACACCCTTATCAACTCCAACTGCAAATCACCTCTCTTCAACTTCATCTTCTTCAATGCCTCGTCCAGCGCCTCCGAAACACATCGCTTTCGCTTAGATTTTTTAGACTTCTTCACAATTTTTTTGGCCCTAATTTCGAGATTGTGAAGCTGAGAGTGCAGATTTTGCGGCTTTTTATTGGGTTTCTTTCTTTCGAGTTTGAGGGAGTCAGGGACTTTTTCCTTATTCTGACGGTGACGACCTTGGATATAGTGAATTTCGCAGAGCTTGTTATCTTCCATGACTCGCCGATTGCACCGCCATTGTCGACCGTCTGTTCTTTTGCACCGTAGATGATCCGGCAGAGTCTCATTTCCCTCCATTGGGCTCTATCTTCTTTCGATCCTCCTGAAAGTAAAATTTTCTTGGGAAAATTGATCGGAAAATGAGAGAAAAAGTTGGTATAATAAGCTGTGGATTTTGAGCTAGGGTTTTTGTGGGTTTGTGCATTTATGGAGTATGAGAGAGAGTTACAGTTGGGAATGGTAAAAGCCGGGAGGAGATTGTGTGTGGGAGTCTCTACGTATATATAGCAGTTGTGATTTCTGAGATTCTCAGAAAAGTCCAGTCTTTTTCTTGGAATCTGATAAGAATTTGTCAAATTATCATTATAATTTCTACAGCATTTTTACATTAATAGATATAGATCAATGTATCTATATATTCATATAAATTTTGAGAGAAAATTGAGTAAACAAGATCATTTCAGTACCCATATGGTCTTTGTATCTGCTGATATACATATATACTATATCATAGCAATTTCAATTCATGCATTAACATATTGTTAATTAGATTGGGTTTTTAGCTACATGGGTCTAAATGAGATGTTTTGAAAAATTTGGGGGTTGATGTTCATAGTGGATTACTCATTTTTTGTCGGTTTTTCAGGCTAATCTTGATTTTCAGATTAAAAATGAGTATGTGGATTGAATTTGTAGGTGTTTTTGTCCAAAGAAAGAAACTATTTGAGTATAAAAAGTATTACTTTATGAAAATGTATCCTTACAAGCATATTAATGGTCACTATAAATGCAATCCACTCACAAAAAAATTGTATACATGCATCTGTTTTTTGTTTATCAGTCTGTCTTTTTAGCTACACGGGTCTATGTGAGATGTTTTGAACAATTTTGTAGTGATGTTCATTGTGAATTATTGGGATTTCGTCGGTTTTTTCGGGGTTAATCTCAATTTTCAGATTAAAAATTAGCAGGGTGAATTAAATTTGGTGTTGATTTCCTCAAAAAAGAAGAAACCATTGAGTATAAAAAGTATTAACTTTAGGAAATGTAATAGGAAAATATATGAAACTTATACTCTGTAATCTGATAAAGCAAAGATTATGGATAATGATGATGAGTTTGCATTTAATGTACCCATTAATATGTTTGTTATGATACAAGTTTTCAGGCATGGCATCTAGTGATGATCAAAGAAATGCAGGTTGCTGGTGGTAAATGGCTTTCATTTTGGGACAAAACTACAAATTGTTTGTGTTCTGATATCCATTAACAGTAGGTTTGGAATGAAGACAGTTTCAATTTTGCATGTTCAGGATTGGTGCAAGTAGAAGAGACTTGATTCTGGATTCTGTTTCTTCATCTACTGCTTTTTTCTCTGTCGACATAGACTAAACTTAACGGTTATGAATACTAGTTTCAAAGACTTCATACCAAGTTCCGTATTTAAAGGGCAAACTCCACCTATTTTTGAGTTATTGAATTAGGCGATCCGAAAATCCATTTCTTTCTCACATCCCTCTATTGGAAAAGGAGGTTAGCTCTAAAATGGTGGTAAGGCAAGCTGTATATATCTAGGTAGTAGACCAAGAGCTATGGGGTTTTAAGGGATAGGAGGTTTGGAACCTTAACCCAAACCAGGAAGGGAACTATATACTTAATCCGGGTTAGCGTATCACATACGAGACTCGCCTGGGCTCTAATCGAGACCAACTCACTTCTCTCTCCTTAACGTCTGGTACCGTTGTCCCGCAACGAGGAAAGTCTACGTAGACTTGACAATAACTTGTCATACATCTTGATTCAACATACAATATTGAATATGTTGGGTGTAAGGAACAGAAATAGGATTCGGGACTATAAAAAAAATTATTTTTTTGGAAGAGTTTAAATATAAAAAAAAAACACCTATAATGAGCTTTTCACTTGAGTAATCAGTATTAATGAAAATCTCAAGGAATTGATAGATGTTGCCAATAAAAGAAAAAAATTTTAAGTACCATTAAGAATGTAGTGCTTAGCAGTCCTTTTTTGGCTACACAATATTACATATCAATTTAATCCCTTCATTAGGTTGAGTAAACTTTCTTATTGCATTGCAGCAGAAAGTAGTGTTTGGTGCCAGAAGATTTCAAGCCAAACATTAAGATGTCTCGTCTCTAAAAGTTTCCACGGAATTCACTTGGAACACCTTGGACTAAAATACAAGATCATGCACGCATAAAACCCAGATTTAAACCATGCGTGTGGGATGTGGATGATTGCGTATGTCCGAGTTTTGTATTGTGGCCGCAAATTCAAAAGACACATGGTTGGAACGATTTCGAAAGTCCAAAAGACGTGTGTTAAAGATTTTCCATTTTATGAGATTTTTTAAACAATTTGGCGATGATTTCCGGATTACTGATTCTTTGTCAAGTTTTTTCTGGGTCAATCTTGATTTGCAGCTTAAAAGTACACAGGTGGATTGATTTGATTGTTCATTTCATCAAAAGCAAGAAACTATACAGTATTTGTTTATACTTCCATTTTAGTTGTTAGATTAAGTGACATTGCCACTCTTTAGTTGCCTGCTGACCATATTATAATTTGAAAGAAAGTTTAAATGTGAGCCTAACTGATTGATTGTACTGTTTTATCAACTTGGTGGAGGGTACTTCCCCCTCCTAGTAGTCAGTCTGTTCTCTCGGGGGGAAACCTTACTCTCGATTAGTTTGAACGTAGTTCGCAGGAGTCAAGGGGTTGTAGGGGCGACCCCTCTATCTTTCTCTCTCCCAAAATTTCCATGTAGAATGGTTACACTGGCAACCTGTTTTTTCCTAACTATTCTATCCCTTTTCGTCGTTATACAGGCTGCTATTGAAGTTATATATGTTGTCAAGAAGTTACAAAATTAACAGTTAGAAAAGTCCAAACACTAGATTCTATTATTGTTGAATATCATTGTAATTACCTGACAAAGATTATAAAAAACAAAATGATAAGGGTCATTTAGTTATTATCATATTTATTCACTTGACAATTTAATGTAATCCTCATGGAAATTATGGGGCCAAACTTTCCGTGCAACATGAAACACAAAAAAAATTAATGGATGTGTCATAGACAAATGGTTCACTTCACAATATCGATCAAAGTCATTTACATATGTAAGGTACAACTATATTCAACTAGGGAGAATCCCAAAAAAAAAAATCGAAGAATATCTCGAATTTGCTTATCTTCTACGAAGAAAAGTCTTACCTTCTGCATCTTCATGCATAATCTGTAACAATTCATGAGGAGGAAGATGATAAATATGAGGATTCTTCAAATGGTGTGCGATTTGGGCTAATTTATCAGCAGCCCGGTTTCCTTCCCTATAAACATGAGTAACGATACAATTTTTAAGTTCGGGTATAATTAAATTTATAAAGTTTACATGTTCTTTAACTTCTGCACATTTAACTTGTCTCTTTTGTGCAATAATTTCAACTAATGTCTTGGAATCACCTTCAAGCCATACATGGCTCCAACCATTCTCCATTACCAACTCAAGTCCTCTTCGGAGTGCTGCTAATTCTGCGATGGTACTGTTTGTTCTTCCAATGGATTCCGCGTATCCAAGTAGAAATTCAGCCTTGTGGTTCCTAAAAACCCCTCCAATGCTTGATTTCCCTGTCTTACACTTACAAGATCCATCGAAATTCAGTTTAGTCCAACCAAATTTGGGTTTCTCCCACGCCACTTGGATCGGTTCCTTGTGCCAATTCCTAAGTAAAACTTGAATTGGCTTTTGCATTAGCCTTTCACATCTCAAAATCTTAGAAATGGTCGGCATTGTCTCTTGTAAAATAAATACTCCAAGAGGAAAATAAGCTGAAACTTGATCACAAGAGAAATATTCAACCACAACAGTTATATTTTACATAAAAATTAAGAAAATGGCAAGAATGTGCAACTTTGGATAGATCTTAAGGATATTTCTATGGAAATACAAGAAGAAGACATTTACGAAATTGCTCATGACGATGACAACGAAACAAACATAATATAATTCGTCTGTACGAGCGAAGTACGAAGATAAAAATATTAGAAACCATGTGAATACATTTCTGCATGACATGAGGATTTCAAACGAGCAATCTAATAATAATCATAAGAATCTCTAGTTCTTCATGTAGTTTTGTATTCAAAAAGTACTTTGGAGTAGACAGAAAGCAAGGTAGTTTGAGAATTGAAGACCAAGAAGGGAAGATTCTTTATACCCAGAGAGAGAGAGACGGAGAAAATGGAAGGAAACCCATTGAAGAAAACTTTGGAATAATTCAAGAAAGGGAATTTATAGTGAAGGGTTTGCATGGGAAGACTGTGGACTTGTTTCAACACACATGCTGACCATTGGACTTTAACCGCCAAAATAACCGTCATTATTCAATCCTTAAAATAGCCGTCAGCAACACCAATTATTAAGTGGATAAACTTAAAATAGAAAATTAACAGCCTTTTTTCAACTGAAAATAGGAAGTTTATCCATATATTTAAGGATAATTTAGCGGCTGAACAAATGAAAATATTTCATAATCACCGGACCATGTGATTTTGTGGCGCTTAGTGCCTCGTCTATGGTCATTCTTAAGGCTCTTTCAAGGTCATGATACTCATAATAGTTATGTTTCAAGTTCGATTCATCTTTTATACTATATATATAAAACAATTAATTACTAATGGGGTAGATATAGAAGAGTGTATGTTACATGAGGTGCACTTAATTACTAATGAGGTGAGTATAGAAGGGTTTGAGTTTAGTAGTTTGATAATAAGAAATTAAATAGGGATGATAAAAGAGATTTGTGGGGTGAAAATAGAGATTCAAACTCAAATAAAAACTGATTTTAATTTATCAACAAAATTTTTTATATTTACGAGAATTCATATGAAATTTTTAGATGTTTTCCTCATAAAAGTTGCATGAACTCACATTAGAAAAATGGTGCAAAAATAATGTCATGAACTTTAGGTAGAAACTTGCAGATAAACAAATAATTATATATTTTTTTAAATTTGAGATAAAATTTATTAAAAATGTTAAAATTATGGAT